GTCAGCTCTGCTTCATTCTGTACATTCCTCTGAAATCCAAGCTCACATTAAAATAGTAATTACATGAAATCCTTTCTCTATTCCCAGTCACAAATAACTTCCCCCATTTATTTCAATGCCTTTATTCAAAGAATAGCTAAATGCAGAACTAACCAAATATGATGTTCAAGTAATCCTCAATTAAAGACCACAATTGGGATCAGGAATGGTGTCCCTAAGCAACACAGTCATAACATGATAATTCATGACCACACCAATTTATACCAGAAATTCCAGTTGTGGCTGTTAAGCAAATCACTAATGCTGAACAAGTGTCACTAAGTAAGGACTACCTATATTACATTAAGTACTCAATATTAAATAACTGCAAATTGTTAATAAGGGCCTGCAGACAGCATTATTGCCATAGACTTTGATGTCTGTGGAATCTGATGACTTCCAAATGTTGCTGAACAACAATCTCATCTTCTGAATCGGCATAGTCAAAGGTAAAAGATGAGATGAGCAATACCATAACATTTGAAGACCAAGTTCCTCTTATCTCTCTTAGAAGGAGCTTCATGATCTTTGGTCACTATTATGCTTAAATTTTCTTTGTTTTTGTCTCTGTTCATCTTTGCTTTATAATGACACCTAGTGGAAAGAATTTTCATTGCCAAAAGCTAACAGATAAATCCCCAAAATACTGTATTCATATTTTAGTACCATAGTTCTTTTCTTGATATTTACATTTGTTTTCTTCCCATATGAAAATGCTGCAGAAGGTGATTTCTATGTTCTTGCTGTTTGTCATAATTAAAACACTGCTAATATATAAAGGAGCATACTGTTCTTCTAAGGTAACACCATAAAACAATCTGTATGCATATGTGGATTTGCAAATATACAGATGTGCATCTTTCTGAGAACCAACAAATGATTCGTTTAAATGAAGTTTACTAACACTTCATGTGATCTTGATTCTATGCCTCTGTTTATGTAGCCTACGGCTAAATTGGCTCTTTTGGCAACTGCTCTAATTTTTTACTTTTCAAAATTCTTATCTTTCAAAACTAAGCACAGCCAGGAAGTTTGTGGGATAAACAACCAAGGTTTGCTTATTTGTCTATGCCAATTACTAAAACTTACTCATTTTTAATATTTAAAATTAATCTTCTCAAATCACTTTGGCCATCTGACAGCACCAAAAAAAAATTTATGTATTGTCAGTAGGTTTTTTTTTCCTAAATTGTATTTTAACAGTGCATGGTGAAAGAGAAGGATTTTCCTAAATTTGGTATATATTTACACAAATAATTCCCCCTCCCTTCCATTTACTGAGGATTTTTAGGATTCCAAAGATATACAGGTGAAACTCGGAAAATTAGAATATCGTGCAAAAGTTCATTTATTTCAGTAATGCAACTTAAAAGGTGAAACTAATATATGAGATAAGATTCATTACATGCAAAGCAAGATAGTTCAAGCCGTGATTTGTCATAATTGTGATGATTATGGCTTACAGCTCATGAAAACTCCAAATCCACCATCTCAGAAAATTAGAATATTGTGAAAAGGTGCAATATTCTAGGCTTTTCACAATATTCTAGGCTCAAAGTGTCCCACTCTAATCAGCTAATTAAGCCATAAGAGCTGCAAAGGGTTCCTGAGCCTTTAAATGGTCTCTCAGTCTGGTTTAGTAGGAATCACAATCATGGGAAAGACTGCTGACCTGACAGTTGTGCAGAAAACCATAATTGAAACCCTCCATAAGGAGGGAAAGCCTCAAAAGGTAAATTGCAAAAGAAGTTGGATGTTCCCAAAGTTCTGTATCAAAGCACATTAATAGAAAGTTATGTGGAAGGGAAACGTGTGTGCACAAGCAGCAGGGATGATTGCAGCCTAAAGAGGATTGTCAGGAAAAGGCCATTCAAAAGTGTTGGGGACTTTCACAAGGAGTGGACTGAGGCTGGAGTCAGTGCATCAAGAGCCACCACACACAGTCGAATCCTGGACATGGACTTCAAATGTCATATTTCTCTTGTCAAGCTGCTCCTGAAAAACAAACATCAGAAGCGTCATACCTGGGCTAAAGAAAAACAGACCTGGTCTGTTGCTCAGTGGTCCAAAGTCCTCTTTTCTGATGAGAGCAACTTTTGGAAACCAAGGACCCAGAGTATAGAGGAAGAATGGAGAGGCACACACTGCAAGATGCTTGAAGTCCAGTGTGAAGTTTCCACAGTCTGTGTTGATTTGGGGAGCCATGTCATCTGCTGGTGTTGGTCCACTGTGCTTCATTAAGTCCAGGGTCAACACAGCCATCTACCAGATTTTGGAGCACTTCATGCTTCCTTCCACAGACAAGCTTTATGGGGATGCTGACTTCATTTTCCAGCAGGATGTGGCACCTGCCCATACTGCCAAAAGCACCAAAACCTGGTTCAATGACCATGGGATTACTGTGCTTGATTGGCCAGCAAGCTCGCCTGACCTGAACCCCATAGAGAATCTATGGGGCATTCCCAAGAGAAAAATGACACACGAGACTGAACAATGCAGAAGAGCTGAAGGCCGCTATTGAAGCATCCTGGTCTTCCATAACACCTCAGCAGTGCCACAGGCTGATAGCTTCCATGCCACGCCGCATTGAGGCAGTAATTGCTGCAAAAGGGGCCCAAACCAAGTACTGAGTACATATGCATGCTTATACTTTTCAGAGATCCAATATTGTTCTATGTACAATCCTTGTTTTATTGATTGCATGTAATATTCTAATTTTCTGAGATTGTGGATTTGGGGTTTTCATGAGCTGTAAACCATAATCAACACAATTTTGACAAGTCACAGCTTGAACTATCTTGCTTTGCATGTAATGAGTCTATCTCATATATTAGTTTCACCTTTTAAGTTGCATTACTGAAATAAATGAACTTTTGCATGATATTCTAATTTTCCGAGTTTCACCTGTATATTGTCCAAGCACCTATAAGATTTGATTTGTTAACAGATTGCATTCATTATCATTGTGCAGTCTTGCATAGCTATGTTCACAGGTACCAATGTTTCAGACCAGGCAAACAAGAGTATTTAATTCCAGCCGGTATTTTATTTTTATAACACATGAAGAAGCGCAAACAATTTGGCTTCATCCCTTCAACACCATTTTATATCTTTAAGTTAGAGAAGCTTATTATTCTGAGGAGGCACACCTTACAAAAGAATAATTTCAACACAAGTGGGTTATAAAGAGGACATTTGGAAGCAAGCAGAGACATAGCAGCTGGTGGTAGCATGATAAAATAGCCCAAAGGGCTATTAAATCTCTATTATGTCCTATAAATATCAGATGCCTTTTATTATCACTTTCCCTAAAATAGGGACTTAAGGATAAGATATAAAAGTTGAAAGAAACTAAGCCTAAATTTTATTCAACATTTATAATCTATCCCAACAGTTCCAAATAAATATAGAAAAATGGAAAAATGGAAAAAAGCATATGGACAAAATGCCCCTATTTGGCAGCTGAATTCCTCTTCCCTTGTAGTACACAAAAGAACAGCAAGGTAATTTAAGGCAAGCAAAAGACCTTAATGGGAGAAATTGTACCATTTCCATTCCTTCCTCCCAACTTTACATTTTAAAAAAAACCCATGAAACTATATACATTTCTCCTCCCTATGTCAGTTCGATTGCTCCTTTCTATTTGTGCCAAGATGCCTTTATTTTGCTGCGGCTAAAGGTCAACTGGATACTCTGCAGAGGAAGGGCCATTTCTTCAATTGAACCAATCCTTAGCATTAGTTCTAATAGCTTTTAAAGCTATTCTTCTTATCCTGTTACTGCAGTATAATCAGTGAAGCAATTGTCTTGTTAACTCAGAATGTTGGTTTGACACCCTAAAGAAAACTGCTCCTTATAAAAAGTGTTGGTTTTTTCCAAGCTTCTCCCATTTCCATTTATTTATCTGTTCTCATTCCACCATTTCATTAATTTGTCATTTGAAGTAGAAAAACCTTCACGCTCAGCAATTAAGTAGCCGAATTAACCTACAAGGCCATTTAGAGGCTGGAGTGAAAGCCTTCCTCCTTTTATGTTTTAGGATATTTGTTTGTGTATGTCTGTGTATTATTATCCCAAAGCAATTCATTGCAGAATGAGGGTCTCTTCATTGAAAGTTATTGATCACCATACTGGCAATTGTGGATTGGAAGATAAATGTTTTCAACTTCCTAAGTGAGCTGACAGTGACTAGCCCAAAGACACTGGCCCAGTTTTTATACCTAAGGAAGGATTAAAACCTGGGTCTCCTATGTGCAAGTCCAGCTTTTTAACTCTCTCTCCAAGATATATTTTTAATATATCTCTTTAAGACATTCCACCCAGAGAAAGAAAAATGACCTGCCATGATTTGCCTGATACGTAAAGGTAGAAGGGCACAAGAGGAATTATCCAATGGGAGGACATGATAAACTACAGTGCAAATTGAATACTTTGCAATTTGTAGACAAAGGATCTGAGTCTGGACAGAATTTTCTTAAACCACTGAACAGTCAAACCAGCAGAAGCACAAGATAAGATCAGCTTAAATAATAATGAAGCATATGCTCTTCATCTACAATGTTTTAATTCTTTTTGACAAACCAATTTTAAATTTACATTGTTATAAGGAGTACAAATTTAAGTACAACTAAAATCAAACACAGCTATATATCCCAGCAGGTTTTAAATCTGCCAAAAAGAATACAGTTAGTCCTCAACTTAGAACTATTCCTTTAGCAACCATCGGAAGTTACAAGTGGTTTATGGCTGATCCTTACATTACAATAATTAGTCAATAATCCCTAGTCATATGGTTGTAATTTGGGCGCTGGAGAGCTGGCATTTATTTATCACAGTTGCAGGATCCCAGGGTCATGTGATCAGCACTTGCAACCCTCCAGGTCAACTTCTGGCAAGCAAAGTCAGTGGGGGAAGCTGGATACATTTAACAATCGCTGCAAAAAAGATCATAAAATTGATTAATTTTATGACCACATCACTTAGCAAGAAATGTTCCAGTCCAAATTATGGTCATAAATTGAGGGCTACCTGTATTGTATTGGTCAGTGCTGTTCATTCCTAGAATCCATATTCTTGAGGCTAGAGCACAAAAATATTTTATCTAAAAATAATTCTAAAGTTAGCAATTGTTTTAGCAGCTGTTGTTTTGAAAATCCCATGACTTCTTTAACATGAACAAATGATTGATTTGTATTCAGACATTCCCTATACAAAACCTATGTGTACATGTTCAATTCATATTATATACATGTATATCAAACTTTTTATATTCACGGTAATTTGTCTAACAGCATGTGTAATTATGCAGCAGATTGGTTCAGCTGAATACTCTGCCATTTTAGCATCTTAAAACCTAGATGAATTCCTGAATTATACATTTTAGGTCGTAGTTAGTCCTCTAGCTATCCACTTCATCCCCATGAGAATTGCCTACAATTTCATTTTCATTTCCAGGTTTCCCTTTAAACATTTTCTGTAAATTAAATCTTTAAAATGGTCTACTTCAGACTGGTGGAAAAGTATACCTCTCCAAATGGTAGGAAATCATTGTACTTCCTGAACATCTGGATGACTACACATTATCTGTCCCAATCTAACTTTTATATCTTTCTTATCATATAGAAGTATTCTAATCTACTTTCTTCAGCAACGTATGTCATTTTACCTGATCCCTTTTGGAATTCTTCATTAAATAGCAATCAGAATAAAACAGAGGAAAGAAAATCAGCCCTTTTGTAATGTTCCTCATTGCTGAGTTGGCTTTTACCCTACAATCAATAGCAGTGAGTTATTTGAAAGAAAGAATATCATACATTATGAAGAATATGTTGAAGAGTCCCATGCAAACATCAATATGTGATATAAGGCAAATTTCCTCAGGAAGTCCCAGTGTTTGTAGTTTTATTTCCTATTCTCATGGTGTAAGGTGCTTAGAAATGTGTTCACTAGAATACAATTCACATCTTACTACCGAATCTTTTAGCCCTGTCGGTCCAAAACCCATTCAAAAAGTCTTGCTACTACTACATAGTAAATCTTGCTACAACTGCAGTCGAGTTTCAGAGTCCTCATTAAGGACCATATCTGAAGTCAGTTTTACAGTAACAAAATAATCACAATAAAGAGGGACCTAAAGACTTGATGTGCTGGGATCACAACTTGTAGAATTTCCTAATCAACCATGCTGGCTAGAGATTCTAGGAATTGCAATCCCAGGACCTCTGAGTCAGGGTTCCCAATGGCTTTCAAACCTGACACTCTGCAGGGCACCAGATTGGCATTGTGAGGAGCAACAATATAGAGCACTTGTGGGCAATCTCAAATCCTCTCCTTGGCTGGATAGGAATTATGAAGAACTGGTCTATTCCTGGTTCATTCTTCTGTGGTTGTCAATTCTACTTTTTTGCCAAGCCATCTTCAGTTTGTCATTTCTTCCCCAGAGGTCCCCACTTCCCAGCCTTTTATGTTATCTAAATCTTCCTTGTGGCAAGTCTGAGTCTATTAGTTGCTGTAGTCACGACTTTCCAGAATGATGTTCAGAATATGTTTTAGTTGGGTCAGGCGTGCCTTCAGGGAGGTTTCAGAAAAAATGGTCAACTTGTGGGTCAAGTCAAGGGGCAAGACAGATATAAGCCACCAACACCAAACTGGTCCATCTGGTGATGCCTAGTGAGAAGATAACAGAAAATACATCAATTCATTTTGCATAATAAATAAATCATGAGCTATTAGAGTTATTTGAGTGGAACAATCTTGATGACATCAAGATTCAGCGCGGAAGTGTAACAGGAAAATTTCTTTATCATCTGAAGACTTAATTCTTGCCACTATCTACTGAGCACATGATCAAATCTTTTCAATATAATAAAAATCATTTTTTAAAAACTCCTACAAGGAAGACTAAGGAGTAGGAGCAGAACAATGCCCCAAATGTTACACTGATAGATGTTAAGTGACACCATATATTTAATGATATAGTGTAAACTGGTGCGTTTATATCAGCTGCATTCATAAACCATGCTTAATCGAGTTAGTTAAAAATGCAGTGTCTGAATTCACAACATGGTAAGTTTGCTTTTGGTTTCTGCTTTTAACAAACTGGTTGAGCAAATCTGGTCTGTTTGCCTGATTTGTGGCTTAATCCATTTTGTGAACTCAGAAAATGGATTCTGTCTTTGATCTTTCATTCTGATCACAGAAATATGTCACCTATGGGAGTGCCTCATTTCCCCTCATTATCATGAGACAGATCTCCATGATCTTAAGATCAAGATCTCATTTCAGGCCTCTGGAGCTGTTAGGATGATCTGGACCCAAAATCTATTGAATCCAGTTGGTGATATATGCAGCTGCAGAGGTTATTTTTCCATGCACATCGTCCCTCTGCCAGATGGTCACCTATTCAGCTGTGTGAGACCCCCTGGCACCTTCTCTAAGCTTGATTACAGGATTCTGAAGCTCATTGTCATTCTTTTACTGGTTTTTTTTTTAAGCTGATCAAAATCTTGCATATTTGAGGTACTCTTGACAGATGCAGAATTAGTATGGAGCTGCTTGATGGCATCTTTTCTAGATGCATTTCCATTCATGGCACAGGACATGAACAGACTTGCTGGAGAGGTTTAGTGTAAAGGTTAAGGTGCTGGACTGGAAACCAGAATGCCACAAATTCTAGTCCTCCCTTAGGAATGGTAGTTGGTAACTCTGGGACAGTCATTCTCTCAACCCAAACATTCCTCAAGATTGTCATAGGGCAAACAGCAGGGAATGTTATCTATTCTACTGTGAGTTGCACAAAATAAAGATATATCCACCACTTGTCTATGAATCCTTGCTCAAATTGTTTTGTAGCTCATAGTCAGGAATTATTAGATCATTATAAATGTCTGCCAGGAGGAGAAGGCAGCAATGATTAGACTATTTGTATCCTTTGGCGATTATCAATTATAGGTTAAGCTCTAATGTGACTAAGGAAATGAGCAGCCCTAAAAAGCAGATTAATGCTGACTTATTAGCCTACTAGTTAAGCAGCTTCTTTAGATAGACATGTGATACTATTGGTTCTTCTTGATCTCCCAGATAAACCAGTTAGGAAACACAAATAGACAAACTAATTCTACTTTAAGGCTTATAAGGTTCTATTGACAGATTCTTGCATGCCTAAAAGTACAAACTTCCAGCTAGCACTTTTAACTGCTTAAGCATTGGAAACAGTCTTTTCTAAGTGTCTTTCTCTTGACAGTTAAGTCACTGGGGGCTCCTGCCCCTCCTGCCTGATTGTTTCTTAGCAAGCAGCTATTTGTCTCTTTCCTCAAGGTCATATACACATTCCATTATAGCCAGGAATTTTCCATCCGTTGATCAATTTTTAGATTGTCTAGGAGAGCTCGGGGGGAGGGGGGGAAACACTGCTTGACATGGGCATCCATCAGGCTGATCTCAAATGATGTACCTTGGAGATGCTTGAGTTGCTCCTAGAAATGGAGTTATTACATGGTGTCTGTCAGTTCTATTCTGCCTCTTTTCAGTATCTACATGAAATTATCATGAAGTATGGAGTTGAGTCCTCTCTGTGTTTGGTGGGATCTAAATCTATCTCTTTAAAGCTGAAGAGCCTGACCATCAAATAATGTTTGAAGGTGCTCAATGTAAAAGATCACAGTTTCAGAGAGGTGGAAGACAGTTCCATTCAGAAGTGGTCTGAATGGAATCATATTCTAAAGAAGAATCTACCTGGGAATACTCCTGAATCCAAACTCTTTCTGTTTTCCTAAAATGAAGCCATGATCAAAAGTATCTTTTATCAGCTTGGTACATCAATTCCATCATTTCCTAGAAGAAAATGATTATGCAACTATGGTACACATTGTAATAGCTTCCAATTTGATTATTATAATATTTATTATAGTAGATGGGCTGCCTTTGTGTCCAGTCTGGAAAAAATTACAAAATTCAAAATATAAGCCATATTAACAAGCACCGTGATGGCGAAACTATGGCACACAAGCTGTCAGCTCCAGCATGCATGTGTGCTCTGGCCAACTGATTTTCGGCTTTCCGGAGGGCTGGGGGAGGCTCTTTTTATCCTCTCCAGGCTTCAGTAAACTTCCAGTAGGCCCGTTGGGCCCATTTTCCATTCTCTCCAGACTCGGGAGGCTTTTCCGGAGCCCCGAAGGAAATACCAAGCTCAGTTTAGAGGTGAGCAGTGCAGTGCACATGGGGGGGATGTGTGGGGCTGTGCGCGCATGTGCATGTGGGGATGCACTTTGCATTATGGGTGCTGGCACACGCATGTGCTATCGCACACCCACACTTGCATTTTTGTTACCCAGCAACAAAAAGGCTAGCCATCACTGTCCTAGTACATTTCAATGGATCTCATTCTGAGTGCTGACTTTTGATAGCCTAAATCCAGGTTATCTGAAAGTATACCTTTTATGTATTTAGGATCCTCATAGTAAAAGTAATTAGTGGAAATGTGATATTGCTGCTATAAACAAGAATGTCCAGAATGTTGGAATATTCCAATTATTTGTTAAAACCCTAATTGGCTTGCAACTTTTCTTTAGAAAGATTCTAAGCAAGCCTCTTAAAATAGCCCTAAACTGATTAGTCTAATTACAGCTTTTTTTAAAATAATTCTGGCTTAATTTGGATTTTGATTTTATGTCTTATTTTAAAGACTGAGATGTCAGAAAACAATAACACAGCCTAAGCTAAGGAATAATTAATTGAAATAAATCAAGTGCTGGGGATACCACAGATGCTTTAGAAGGAACATTTTTAGGAGGTGAAATGGCAAGTAATTAGGAATGAAAAGTAGATAAGACTTCATTCAGTTTTTTACAGAGAAGAAATCAAACACTCGAGGAAAACATATTTCTAGGCAGGAATAGATACACGACTTGCCATTACTTTCTTCTAGAATGTTTTTTCAGCTTCTCAGTCCAGTTACAGCCCTGGAATTTTACAAAGTGACATAGTTTGAAGATGAGTTCATCTCGCCTAAAACCATTCCTCCGTGTAAAGCATGCCTCATAGATGATCATCTAGCCTTTCTAAAGACTTCTGATGAAGAAGCACTCAAACTTTCATATGGCAGTCAGGAAGTCCCTCCTAATACCTAGCTTGATACTTAGCCTACAACCGTCTTGTACTTTAATGTTGTTCTGGTCCTGTCCCCTGTAGTGAATATGTCTACCCCTCAAGCACAAGCCAGGAGCAACACTGCTTATCCTTTTTCAAGGTCAGCTAAGTGCTGCCATCTTCATCAAAGGATCCTTCCCAGACAATGCAAGGTTACTTTCATTGATGCAAGTGATGAGTGAAGTAAGGCGCTTTTGCTATGGCACTTCTGTGTAAGATACTGGATAAAACATGGGTGAGGTTAATTTTAGGTTATTTTTTTTCTTTTTAGGCCAAACTCAGGACTGTTCTCTAGTTGTTCAGGCATTTTGTTCCAAATTATAAGTTGCTTTAATTTAACCTTATGGCTCTATAGATGTTGCCAGTTTTATGGCTTTCCATTCTGTGTGCCTCATTTCTTTTTATGGGTTATTAATCTAATATTCTTAAGTGTATGCCATTCTAAGGATTTTATAGCAATGGCAATTCCTTAAATTATTCATGCAACTAATAAATGATATGGTGTAATATTAATACAGCCAACTAATATCTTAAATTAATAATTGCTAATGTAATAGCAACTTAATACTGAAATATTTAGAATAGTCACCATGGCAAAATTGTACAAAGTAGGATGTCCTTTCTAGTCTTTAAAAAAAATCCCAAACTTCCTATTTTAAAAAGCCCTAAAGGTGTGATCTTTCTTTTAGAGCTGTTAAAGTCTCACTTACTACTTGAGGAAAAAGGTTTGGAGATTCCAGCAACTGAAAATCATAATTCCTAAAATTAATTTATTTAGACAGAAAAGTGAGATGTAATAGGTTATTTAATTCTAAACTAAATTTATTTTGCCACTGAATAAATTAATTAACTTTGTTTATTACTACACTCCTCGAGAACTATGATTTTCAGGTACTAAATTATCTTAAGGCCATCTAACTGCTTCTAGAAAACATATATAGATAGCTATGATAATGCAATATCCCTAATATTATTTACTTGGAAAGGCAGCATTTCTAAGACTGTATCATGAATCATTTGTGCCTTATGGTAATTTAATACTGCATTTAAAGAGCATTACCTGGTCAAATAGCTAAAAATACATTTTTTAAAAACTGCATGAATGTACAAACTGCAAAATTTTAAACTGCTAATTTATTTTGTTAAAGCTGCTGCAACTTCTTATCTGCCTTTATCTGATCTTGAAAAAATATGCAATGACAGACCTGCATAGTAATTGGATGGGATACTACTGTAAATCCCAGGGCAATAGGCAAATCTAAGAAATCAACAACGCATCCCAGAAGGTAAGAGAAAATGACTTCCATTCCTGCCAGGAAAACTTCATGGATTCCATGGGTCCATATAATCATCGGATATTGAGTTGGACTCCAGGGAATTATTATTTTAACTCCTTCAATTTATACTGTACAGAAAGCAGATGAATACATTTACATATATGAACCTAGATCTGAAATTCAAGGCAATTTAGTTCCTGTAAAATAATTTAAAGATGGCTTCTTCTTTTATCATCATCTTGACCCCATAATCCCTTGCAGGGTAGTGTCTGAGCAACTGAATGGAGCTGAGTGTTTACTGGCCGGATGCCCTTTCCTGTCGCCAATGCGGAGTTATATTCAGCAGATATATTCTTATCATGCCCAAAGAGAGAAATATCTGCCTCCATGCCAGCACAAGATAATTAACACAGTGCTCCAATCCTCCTGCATTCTTCTACATTCTCTTCCAAATTAGAATGTAATCTGAGTAATTTTATTGTTATATACATATGACAGTCATATATCCCTTTTTATCAAATCTCATTCCCTTGCAGATTATTTTATATTTCTGGTGAGAACAAGTCTCAATACCTGTATGTCTTCCTCTTTTTCTGGAAGTGGTCCATGATGCATCACAAGCTGTCTGAAAGTCCTGCCCCCATGTTCATAAAATCTCTGGGTTAGCTCATAGGTACAATCATGTAAATTCTGCAGCTCAGTCTGTTCTTCTCCTTCCATCTAGATCACAAGGTCAGAAGTTGAAAATAAGCAAAGTGAAGCACATCGAAAGTAAAAATGAAAGAACCTGAACAACAGTTGAGATAAAAAAAAGAGTGTGAGAGAGAAAATGTAATTACTAAGTAGAACTCAAATGTGGTTGACATATAGTAAGGATATGTAAAATATTGCATGTTTGAAAAACCTGGTTTTGAGTGGTCTGTGCCAAAACTGAAACATGTGCTTGGATGTTTTGCTCCACACACAGAATTAAATGTGCTATTCTGTGCAGAATTGGTTTGGGGATGGGAGATAAGAGAAGGAAATGCTCTTGACGAAACCCCTCAGCCCAGTGGGAAAGGAAGGTGCTAGGACAATAGGGACAAGTCAAATGATTTCTTCTCTACTACTGAGGTTGCAAAATTGCAAAAAAGGAAAAGTACAAGTCCTTTTCATTGGCAATAGTGACAGCTGATCAGATGAATGGGATAGAAGGCAAATTATGGGGCAGGAAGGCTGGTGTACAGGCCATTAGGAGGAGCAAGAGGAGGAAATAGGAAGATGCATTTCAGTTACCCAGGCTTCTTTAAAGAAAAGAGTCTTCTTAAGGCAGACATGTACTCATTTGAGAGCTGCCAGAAGAAAGTCTTGCTTACTAAAAGAAGCAAGGTGAATAGAAGCTATGCATTAGTACATTATAAAAAAAGTTCAAGCTTGGCAAGTGACTATTTTAACCAATGAATCAAATAATTAATGCTGTGTTTGGGTGGGGTGCAGAGATTATCCTGGCTTTGCTGCAAAGAACAGAGAAGACATTTAAAAAGTGATTTTCCTTCTAACAGTGAACAGCTGTTGACCCATAAATTGAAAGCGCAGACCCGTAAATCAATGTGATAGGTTTTTCTACTTGTTTTATACATTTATTGTACCAAACTATCAATGAAAAAAAAAACCAGCAGAGGGCCAAATTGAATATTCTATCTCCCATCTGCCCCATAAGATTCAACAGAGTAAGCATGGTTCAAGTAATTATTTTGTAGCTCAGCTGTGTTAAATTTGTTCATTTTAATTTATGCTTACTTATTACCACCTTGAATGCCATCTTTTGGTGGAAAAGTGAAATATAAACTCAATAAACCATGAACACCTAATTAATCATGTACACGTAGTCCTCAACTTACAACAGTTCGTTTAGTGACCATTTGAAGTTACAACGGCACTGAAAAAAGTGACTTATGGCCATTTTTCACACTTACAACATCTCCATGGTCACATGATCAAAATTCAGATGCTTGGCAACTGACTCATATTTAGGATGGCTGCAGTGTCTCAGGCTCATGTGATCACCTTTTGCTACCTTCCTACAAGCTAAGTCAATAGGGAATCCAGGTTCACTTAACAACCGTGTGATTAACTTAAGAACTGCAGTGATTCGCTTAACAACTGTGGAAAGAAAGGTCTAAAGTCGGGCAAAGCTCATTTAACAACTGTCTTGGTGAGCAACAAAAAGTTTGGGACTCAATCGTGGTCATAAGTCAAGTACTACCTGAATCAAGTGGTTACCCAGTGCATATCATTCCTTTTATTTTAGCCAAATCTTTAGGACTTTACTCTTCACATAAGGACTACTCACCTTCTCGTCTTCCAAGTATTCAACGTCTGCAGTGTTGTAGCCATCTCTGTGCCCTCGTCTCAAAACCCGAAACCTCCTCTTGCCTATAGTGTCCACCAATGATCGTCCATCAGGAAAAAATGCTATTTTTTGAATCTCCAGTATGCAGCCATAGTCAGCAAAGCTGAAAAGAGACAAGGCTATTAACAGGATAGAAGGAAGATTCATATCCTTTCCCCATTTCTTGTGTGCTATGTAACTTGTGTGAAATGAAGCAAACAAAATGTTAAAAGGTTAGGATATTTATGTAGTTACTTACCAAGCATGTTTAAACTATATTAAAGTAAGCAAAATATCTTTACAATCCCCAAGGCATGTCACAACTTTTGAGCACCCCTAAGGTTTGGAAATTGAAAGTTGAAAGATTTGACACGTCCTATGTAGGATGCTACTAGGCCAGTGATGGCGAACCTTTTAACATTTTGTTCTCCATAGTGAGGGGGGAGGAGTATCCAGAATGGGTGTTGACTTTGTCCTCTCATGATTGGATGA